GAGAGAGAGAGAGAGAGAGAGAGAGAGAGAGAGAGAGAGAGAGAGAGAGAGAGAGACTGACTCCATCTCTGTAAAGAGAGGTGTCTTTGATGAGGAGTGCTAGCTACACTTATCTAGGAAAGATGTCGCCCACATCTTGGCCTGTTTTTATGATAAACTCTCTTTGACCTTTCAAACTACGTGTTGTTTACAAGACTCCCTTTGTACTGATAGTGTGGGTGTATTTAACATATATTCTTGTTTCTTTCTTTTACAATTCACTGGCAAGGGGCATTTTGTTTTTGTGGCTTAGGACACTCTTGGACTCATTATAGCATGGTTTTGAGACATTCCTGCTGTCTCTTAGTGGTGTCTTTCCTGGTGTTCAGTTACTGCTGGCATGTATGGATGCAAAGGTTTGTTGTTGTCAGTGTCAGTTACTGCCGGCATGTATGGATGCAAGGGTTTCTTGTTGTCAGTGGTTGGTTTTGTCTCAGTTTTTGTTGTTGTTTTGTTTTTAAGGCAGTGTATCTTAAGTAGCCTTGGCTATCCCAGAATTCCCTATGTAGACCAGGCTGGTCTCAAGTACTTGAGATCTACCTGCCCCTGACTCCAAGTGCTGGGATTATGGTTGTGTTCCACCATGTCCTGCTTTCAGGGTTTTTTTTTTTCCCCTTATATTTTCCGACTTTTTTCAGCAGGTTGATTATTTTCTTTTTTGTGTCCCCAGTCCACTTGTGTTTATTTCTGTGTTAGGACTTAACAGATTGCCACAGGTAATCTGTTTATTTGACTGCTAGTTTTCAGGGCCTCTATGTTCAAGGGCATGATCTGCATTGTATTCCTAGATGCAATATGGCAGGGCTAGAACATTGCAACCATAGGAACTGTGTCCTCTAGGAATGAATTTGTCATTTACAGACACACATACACACAAATTTTTTAAGTGTGTTAAATTTGACTGCCGCATTTTATTATATACAAAAGGTATAAACACACATCTTTAACAAAAATTTAGTTGATTCTGGACATTGGTAGTATATGCCTTTAATCTCAGCATTTGGGACATAGTGCCAGGCAGATCTCTGAGTTTGAGGCTAGCCTGGTCTAAAGAGCTAGTTCTGGAACAGCCAAGGCCACACAAAGAACCCCTGTCTTGAAAAACAAAACAAAAAAGGTTGATTTGACATTAATTGACCTTGCTACAACATATTGTCTTAACTTCAGTTATAGATTTTTCCTAAAGACCCCTTAAAGGTATAGTCTTCCATATGTACATACACCTTGAGCATTTTTCTCTGAGCTTATTATCCATAAAATATTTGTGAAACTCTTGCTAATAGGAAAATTGTTAATTGTTCAATTGGATAATTTTTCTTTTTCTCATTAAATTTTCCATGTGGGTACAATTGTGCTATTTCAGAAGGCCAGATCTTTTAATTAGATCAGTAGGGCATGATAAGTTGATCCTATTAATGTGCTAATACTGTGTTTTTAATTCAGTTCATCAAGTATTTATTGAGTACTTACATTTGCGCAACACTGTAGGTGCTAAAGCGAATACTGAAATAGTAAATACTGAGCTCAGCTTGTAAGAAAATTTGGGGAGGCCTGGGGAACATCAGATAATTAAGGGACTCGTTGCAGCATTTGTTTGCCAAATTAACCTGTGATATTATAATAGTTATAGTATTATTAATCATCATCATCACCATCACCATCATCGTCTAGGAAAGACTCATCGTTCTCTTTTGCCTGTTGTGTGGTTGATTGGAGCTCTAGACAGCTTTACCTCCCATCCCTGGTGAAAGAGTTCTCACATTAGCTGCTGTCACTTCATGAACAGCAGAAGCCACAGAATGGGGAGAGAAGAATAAAAGATGTACGACTAAGAGAGGTACACTTCTATTTCTGCTCCACATTTAGGACTAATTCCTCTTTAATTATTAGCAACAGAATTTAACTTGGACTAACGTAAGAAAATAGAGCTTTATGGACTGGGAAGGTTAGGAAATGCTCAAAGGGCTAAGTCAGCCCCAGCCAGCCTTCCTTCTCGTGCAGGGCGTCTTAGCTGTTAGTGCTGTGCCACACTTCTGATGGCAGCCCACATTTAAAGTCCTCCTGAGTTCTAGAGTGGGGTGGAGAAGCTCTTCAAAGGAGGCACAGGATATGCCTCCAGACAGCTTGAGCTGCAGGTATTTTATACATGGGCTGTGCTTGGCAGTGTTGAGCCTTTGATGAGCTTGCTGTAAGCAGTCTTTGGAATGAAAGTCAGCATTAGCTGAAGAGTAAATGTAAAATAAGAGGAGAGGGGAGCAAGCATAAGTTAGTTCTTCAAGAAGCCTGGTGCTCAGAGAAAAGGAGATAGGCCCAGAAAAGAAATCATTAAAGCCTTTCAAATGGAGAAAAATGAGTAAGGAAATGTTTGAATGGAAAAGCACCAATAGGGTAAGGAAAGTAAATTATCAAAAAGAGAAAAAAGACATGATGTAAGAGGTTACCAAGTAACCAAGATGTTACCAAGTAGAGTTGTAGAGTCCAGAGTACAGGAAGAGGGTTGGTGGTAGCTAGAAATACTAGGAACCTTTGTCATGGACAACAGACTTACCTTGGATTTTGAAGGATTGGTAGGAGCTGGACAAGCCACAAAAGATAAAAAGGTCATTTCAGTGAGAGAAAAGCATGAACTTAGGGAAAAATGAGCTTACCAATAAGAAGAACAGGAAGAGCAAATCTGAGTTGGTTAGGATGGAGAATGAATGTCTGGATCAACTATTCACCCTTGCTCCTCTGTGTTGTACCTGATAGATGTGGGTAGGTGAGACTGAAAGCCAGGACCCAGAGTTTAGATGTGATGCAGTTGGGCATGAGTCAGTTGTTCTTCGGTACTCAGGTAGAATTTGTTCTAGGGTTCCTTCACAGGTACAGAAATTTAAGTATCATTTAGGGAGCTAGACAGATGGCTCAGTGGTTAAGAGTATACATTGTTCTTTCAGTGGACTCCAGTTTGGTTCCCAGCACCCATGTGCAGTGGATCACAACCATATTTAGCTCAATTTCTAGGAATCTGGCACCTCAGGTCTTCTGAAGCACCTGCACTCAGGTGTACATACCCTGCCCCACAGATGCACATGATTAAAGAAATTAAATAAATCTTCAAAGTCTCATGCACAATGGCATAGTGTTTTCATGTTTGCATAGCCTGTGCACATCCTCCTATATACTTAAAATTGTTTGTAGATTATTTATAACATTTTACATAAATTAAATGCTGTAAAAAGTTATATACTATGAAGATGGAATGGCAGTCTGAGGAGTATATGAAGGTAATTTTATTATTATGGGGACATCGTATGGTGTTCTCTTACAAGACCAAATGTGTAAGTCTCATGCTGTGCTCTGTTCTCCCAGGCTATAGACCTATCTGCCACATTATTGTCATGAGTGTTATAGACAATCATAACATGGTGGTGCTTATGTATAAACATGTGCAAACATAGTAAAATAAGAGGTCATAGAAGTCTTCAGCTCCATTCCAGTGTTAGGAGCCACTGTGGGATGTGTGGATGTGAGTAACTAACCATCATTATGCAGTGCATGGCTATATCTACTAATACTGTCATTTCTCTTGAGGGTTATTTTGTGGACATGATCTTGCTATGTTAGGACTATCCTCACACTTTTTATGCTCCTGCCTCAGTGTCCCAAATATTACAATACAGGCCAGTATTGTATTTT